ATGTCCTCCCTGCCCACATATGCTACATGAATGTTGATTTTTCGGCTGCAGCAATTCACTTAGAGGTTTATCACGCTTCTTCTTTGGCCTTCCAAGAGGTCTTTTCTATTTGGGTGGTAGTACAACCTCCTCTGCAACATGTGCTGGTATATTCCAGTCATTTCTGTCCGGTAGCGGGTACACGGGCACATCGTATGTCATTACAACAGTATTTGGTTTGTAATAGTTAGAGCAATATTCGTCTGGCATTAGAAACTTGCTCTTCAATACAGCCCAAGCATGTAGGCATGGCAATTCATCAACTTGGAACCTCCACAAACACATTTTCTCTCTAACAGGCATACTGTGTAATTCCTCCCTCCATCGTTAACCGTATGTAAGTATTCAGTTGATGGTACCACCTACATTTAAAATTAGAAATATAAGTTTTGAGCACATATAACTGAATTACCATATGTATAATGCTGAATTACTCAGTTATATACAACTGAAATATTTGCATACAGATGAATACATCATATATTTAGACCAGCAAACTATCAACTGTAATTAGTGCAGAACTTATCAAAAGTCTTCTATAATTTAGGCAACAGGAGGCTAACAAAACATTGGAAGAATACTTCATGACAATACATATTAAAATTATATATAATACAGATTTGTTAGTTGTATTCTGATGTATTCGAATTTTTTTTTTTGCATTATGCTTTTAGTTATATTCAGTTGTATTCATACCAGATCTTCGAAAAAATATGTCTTGTATGTGTTTGAATTTAGTTGTATTCGTATATATTCATGGTAGTTGTATTTTGAAAAATGATTGTATTCAGATGTATTCATGGCATTAATTCAGAAAACAATTAAGTTATATAATACAATGACCTTAAAATAAAACTTACAGTCATACGTGTTGACATAGCCTCATTCAAAATCAGTATATCCTGGTATTTTTTTCCAAGCGTCGTGTATGTCTGTGTAGCTTCTTTACGGTTACTACAACTCCAACGTCCAAACATCTTCCTAACTTCTTCGAGGAAGTCGTATATTGACAATTCCCTTGCTGAAACTAGTGCGGCATTGATTGACTCAGCAATATTTGACGCCATTGTCCATCCCCTGTTAACAGGTGCATACAACCTAGCCCACTTTTCGTATCCAGCTAACTCTAAGTATTCTTTCACCCTAATATCTACCTTCTCCACCTTCTCCATCAAACTGTCAAATTTAGCTTGTGTGTATGTTTTTGCCATCGAGAAGTATATCTCGCTCAACTTGGCATGGCTCTTTTTGAATTTCTTATATACGTTATTCCATAGATGCCATATACAAGCAAAATGCGGTACATCTGGATACACTCTCGATACAGATTTAATGATACTCTCATTTCTATCTGAAACGATGCACATGTTTTCCCTGTCACTGTATGCTATCTTGAATTGCTCAAAGAACCACGTCCAGGCAGCATCGTTCTCTGAATCAATAACACCATATGCTAGTGGCAATATATGACCTGTAAATACAATTCAATACATATTTTTAAAACATGTGTTTCAATCTTTAAAATATTAACAGATTGTATTATAATTAAGGTACTCACCTGCACCATCCAACGTGCTTGCCGAAATGAATGTCCCGGTGTAGTAAGATTTTAGGTGACTTCCATCCATAACAACAATGGGTCTACAATGATCAAACCCCTTTATAAAGGCATACAAGGATATATACACGTACATGAATTCATTTTTTGGAGATTTTACCATTATGATGTGGGAACCTGGATATGTCATATCCATTATATATAAGTATCCTGGTAATTTTTTGTATGAATCAGCCGGTTCACCTCTCAAAAAATTCATTGCCTTTTCTTTAGCCCTCCACGCCAACATGTAGCTAACATCTACACCTAAATCTGATTTCCCGTCATCAATAATATCCCTTGGGGTGTATTTTCTCTTATGGTTAGTAAGCTTAGGCCTAATCATACCACCTATAAGGCTTCTACTAGCCTGCCGCTGCTCATACACCTTGTCCTTCAGCGGACATGTATGGTTATCATTGAATTCTCTTACTTTGAATAGTTCTGATTTGTTAATGCTTGAAGCCTTAAACTTCCATTCACAATCTTCTGAAATACATAATAATGCATAGCTGCAAAGAATTAATCATTGTACATTTTATTAGCATAAGTGTTTACAAAAAAATCACTCATATACACACGAATACAATCTGACATAGATACATCCTGACATCTATATGTATAAATTTTTATACTACTGAATTCAATTATAGTTATATGCATTTAAATTCAATGAATACAACTGAATACAATTGTGGGTATATGCATACAATTAATACCACAGTATATGCATACCAACTGAATACAATTGTGTCAATGCCATCATCATCACTGTTATGTATTTATACCAGTAAAATACATATGAATACATGTATTTAAGGACCCTAACCAAACATATGTTTACTGCATCTGTGATCATCAAGAGGAAATACAAAAATAAGCATAAATACAACAACGTTAAACTTACAGCTCGAACCAATAATAGAAAATACAAAAAAAAAATTAAATACATGCAAACCTGACAGCATTAGACCTATCAACCCGGAA